ATCGAACTTTTTTGTGGATCTGAGTGTTCCGATAATCGAGTAGCCAAATTTCTTTCTGTTTTGCCTATGTAGAAACTGTTGCAACCAGGACAAAAGCTGTCCTCAGAGTGAGGAACGCTGTCCTCAGAGTGAGGAACGCTGTCCTCTGAGTGAGGAACGCTTTACTCAGAGTCAGGAACGCTGTCCTCAGAGTGAGGAACGCTGACCTCAGAGTGAGGAACGCTGTCCTCAGAGTGAGGAACGCTGTGCTCACAATGAGGAACGCTTTTATCTTCATAATCACCTGCTTGCATGAACGAAATATTTTCGTCTTCGCAAATAAAAGGCGCTTAGATGTGACAAACTCCAGAGGAGTTCCAGGGTCATGCACCCACAGACCTAGAAAACTTTGTATTATAGTCCCTCCAAAAGGGCCTTTTTCTCCAATGTGCGGGGACATTCTATAGAATTCTGAAGATTATATACTACTTATTACAAAAAGCAAAGTTATTTAGTATCATTCACTCCAAATTCCAAGTGAGTAAAGAGATCTTTGATGGGAGACTTTGTTCATTTGATGAACCTTAAGTATAATATTAGTGCGGACGTTCGATAATTTGGCAGTTATGATTTCAATTTAATTTCATTCAAATTATTCTCATTCAAAATATTTTGATTAATTTAATACTGTCAAGTGACAAGACGAATTTTTAGTTCAGCTTTTCTGTTCATTTTCTTACTTAACAATTTGTCACAGCAAATTTTATCATTGCACATTTTACATTTTATCACTGCACACTTTACTTTTATCACTGCACAAATGCCCTGCACGCTAAAATTAGGTATGTTGAAGACCTTCTAAATCGAAATTTTATCCGTAAGTCCAATTCACCATACAGCACACCCGTAGTTTGTGTGAGGAAAAAAGACCAAACTTTAAGGCTGTGTGTTGATTACCGCGAACTGAACAGGAATCGAAAACACAGGTAGATCGTCACCCCATCCCGAGAATTCAGGAAACGCTTGACAATCTTGGTGGGAGTTCCTAGTTTTCCGTACTTGACCAAGGGAAAGCTTACCACCAAGGATTTCTGAAACCCGAAAGACAATCCCTCACAGCATTCATCACACCTAGGGGATTGTACGAGTGGATCCGCATCCCATTTGGCCTTTCCAACGCCCCAGCCTCTTTTCAGCATTTGATGGAGTCGTGTTTAGGTGACCTCCGAGATGAAATCTGTATTCCATATCTTGATGATATCATAGTTTCAGTTCTAATTTTAACGACCATATTGAACACTTACGAAAAGTCTTTCAACGTCTTAAGGAACATGGTGTTGAATTAAAACCCAAAAAGTGCAATATGTTTAAGGGAGAAGTTGTTTTCCTGGGGAGAGTAGTCTCTGCAAGGCGAAGGGTACAAACCCCTCAAGTATTGCCCCAATTTTACGCCTCAAAGATACACCACCTAAGACAGTGAACGAAGTTCGAAAGTTAAAGGGATTCTTGAACTATTATCGGCGGTATATTGCCAATTTCTCAAGGATTGCCAAGCCGATTTACGATCTCGTGGAGGTGTCGGAAAATGACTCGAAGAACAAGCGTGGTAAACCAGTGGCTAACCATCCAGTGTCGTGGACGTCGACTCATCAATCGGTGTTGGAAGAACTTATCGAATGTCTTGTGAGTGCTCCAGTCATGGCATATCCAGACCCTCACAGCCCATATGTCCTTCACACGGATGCATCAGAGAATGGACTAGGAGCAGTACTTTACCAAGAGCAGGATGATGTCTCACGTGTTATTGCTTACGGTTCACGAACCCTAACACCAGCAGAGAAAAACTACCACCTACATTCTGGTAAACTAGAGTTCCTTGCGTTGAAGTGGGCTATCTGTGAATAATTTAGAGACTACCTGTATTATTCTCCAAGTTTTGTCGTATACACCGATAACAATCCGTTAACGTACGTCCTATCAACTGCCAAACTGAATGCAACTGGCTTTCGTTGGATTGGAGAATTAGCTAGCCGATTTCAACTTTATATACAATACGTTATCGCCCTGAAAAGATGAATACCGAGGCAGATACTCTCTCTAGATTACCTGAAAACATGAGTGAATACACGGATTCGTGCACTGCGGAAACCTGCCAAGACGAACTGCGAACCATCGTCCAGTCGATACAGTTGGAAGACAAAGGTAAAGTGACTTGGGTCTCATCTCTCACCCCTGATCCCACTGTGTTGCATGGAAGTGATCCACAACCAATCGCTAGCAGTACTCCACAGTCCAACCTTAGTGACATCCGACAAGCTCAGCTTAAAGATAATGTTATTGTAAAAGTTTATTCGTTTGTCAACAGAAAACAGCGAAAAACTTCCTCCCAGAGAGCAGCAGAATCACCCGATACTAAACTCCTACTTCACGAACGGCCAAAGCTGTTTATTGATAAAGACGGTGTTCTACGAAGACAGAACAACTCACACGATCAGGTTGTGCTTCCTAGACCATACCATCGAACAGATCTACGTGAACTTCACGATAACATGGCTCATCTTGGATCTGAGCGCGTCCTATGTTTGGCTCGAGATCGGTTCTACTGGCTTCGATGCAGAACGGAATATCTGTCGCTGTGTTAAGCAAAAACCACCAAGACTGAAGACCAGTGGCGTGCTGGCGGGGGGCCGTGGCCCCCAGCTGGCAATCTTGGGGGGGGGCGCAAAAATGAAAAAGTTTTTTAGCGGACAAAATATCTGAAATGTATCAATCGAGTTTATGCGCTATAAATTGATGTTATGTGCTATACATTGATGTTATGCGCAAATACATCGATGTCATAAACCGATACAACTAAAAGATAAACCGATACAACTAAAAGATAAACCAATACAAATAAAAGATGAGGAAACGGAAGTAAATACCAATAAAAGATGAGGAAGCGGAAGTAAATCGGAAAAACGGAAGTTGAGCGACGCGGCGACATACAACAATGGCGTCTCTTGGACCACGCATTTGGCTTCCTAACACAGAAAACCTTTTTCGTGAATTGGTTGATTTAATAAGAGCTGCTGAACAAAGTCGCACTCATTGTGACTCCGCCAGACTTTTATTGTCGTAGATTAGAAGAGTATGAACGCACATTGAGTGTTTTAACAACAAGAATCACCGAATCATACACAACGGAGCAGTTTTTAATCAACAATCTACATATACCATGTACTTATTTAAATAGTTTACGAAATGAATTCGACGTTATTGTTGAAAATTATGAACGGACCTCAGAGCGCTTTTCACTAGAAGAGTACAGTCTTAAGGCTGATTTCCACTGTTGCGTTTGTCGTTCGCACGTACACGCACGTAAAACTTTGAATCCTTCTATATTTTAAATATTTTACAAATAAGTTAACAAATGCATACTAAAACTTGCGGAACACTAAATTCTGTTGCTTTATTTATTTGGTTATTTCATAAGTAACATTTAAACGGATTTAAAGTAATTTTACGTGCGTATACGTACGTATGAAAAACGCAACAGTGCATGGAAATCAGCCTTTACGATCGTGCGGTTTGTACGACGGAAAGAAACGGGCTCGTTGGTAGGCCAAGAATACAAGTCACAGAAGAGCAGTTAACCACATTGCTTTTTAAGTTTAGATATAGGTATTAAATGAGAACCATATTGGTGTCCTAGTAATAAATTTATGCCACAATAGTCCCTAAATGTCAGATCAAAAATGTAGTGTGAAATATGATAGTGTGATGGCCTCGTGTTGTTGGCACAATTTATGCTTGTGAAAATAATGTTGTATTTGATAAGCCTGAGAATAAAAAATAAAAAAACACTTGTATATGTATAAATGTGAACCTAAGAAATATAAGTGTAGGTGTAGACTTTTGGAACATAAAATTGGAGATGCGTGTGTGAAATTGTATCTGTAAAATATCCTGTGGTGTAAAAAAATGTCATCAAACTCAAGGAGTATGATCTCGCTGTACTAAAAAGGTTGTATGGAGGCATGTAACTAAGGCGAGAGCAGGAGATATAGTCATGTGTGTAAAATTCAGTATCCCTGAAAGGCTGGCTGCGGCACAGACGCATTATTTGGTACACACGAATTCTGAGTACGTGGTATTCGGAAACGAGAATTCAGTTCTTCGGGTAACGATGTGGACTGCTGCACTGAACCACCTTGTGATGCGTTTTCTTCACGTGTTTGCGAAGAATGCTGTAAATTGGTCACCGCGCTTAAGATAGACTGAACAAAATCTTGAACATTTGGTATTCTGCCCTGTCTCTCTTCTGCCATGTTTTTCAATATGTATTCACCAGCTTGGCGCCACTACTTGGCACGCGCAATTTTGCCGCGTCGCTCAACTTCCGTTTTTCCGATTTACTTCCGCTTCCTCATCTTTTATTTGTATTTACTTCCGCTTCCTCATCTTTTATTGGTATTTTTCCGTTTCCTCATCTTTTATTTGTATCGGTTTATCTTTTAGTTGTATCGATTTATCTTTTAGTTGTATCGGTTTATGACATCGATGTATTTGCACATAACATCAATGTATAGCATGCACATAACATCAATTTATAGCGCATAAACTCGATTGGTACATTTCAGATATTTTATCCGCTAAAAAACTTCATAGAAAAACCGCATTTGAAAAAATATAGTCACTTCCGCCAAGAAAAGATGTGTTTGATACGCTTATAAACAGACTAAGCGCATGCATAGATGACAAAGTGATATATTTTAATTACAGACTATTTGATCTAACCGTATTTGCTAATTTGCTACATCAGGGCTCACACAAAATCGTTCATATAGAAACATGATCAGTGATCACATGCAATGTCTCATTACCCGAATATTGGTCAGGTTTCGAAGCGATCACGGGAATTATGCCCTTTTTTGCTGGTATTATCCCTTTATCATATATATGCTTCACGAATCACGAGAGCGGCACAAACTAGATAGTTATGATATTGTAAAGTTGTTACGCAATTTGGTTGTTTGTGCAAGAACATCATGACTCATGAGTAATGTAAGTAATAAGATAATGCTGAAACGCGCCCTTTTAGCAGCCAAGCTACAATCTTGGACATAACTGGTTGAGACTATTTTCCCCCTATACAAAATTCGCGTATTTTTATGATAAACTCCATGTTGAATCATGTTGCCATTCTTAAACCCCCGCTCCCCCAACTCAATGTTGAGCTTGTATCATGGTATATTACCAAAAGTTGTTTCGGTTTTGTCAATGTTCAATAACTTTGTAATATTAGCTGGAATGGTCTCAAGGGTTTTGTCCAAGATTGTAGCAAGTAAACTTAAAATGCATATGCGTGGGGTCCGTGTGTTATTGTATAAAAGAGCTGAAAATTGTAAATGTATTCAGATCGCTAGATCAGTAGAGAATAGAATTGGGATTAGATTAATCGCTAAAATTAGTTAGCATTGCCCAATTTAAGTACTAGTACCAAATTCTAACCAAATTGCAAATTTCGACACGTTATAATGCCGTTTCCTGACCATCAGATTTCTGTCAAACCTTCCCCTCAAAGTCCAGGAAATGACATTTCAGCGACCCTAAATTCAAAACGTTTTCGTGGGGGCATGCCCCGGACTCCCCTACACGGCAAAAAACGCTCAGGTTGATGCAATACTGATGAAAACAGGATTGAACAATGTTTTGCTGCCCACATTGTTCATAGCTGTCAACAACATTGAACAATATTGTTACACCCGATTCATGCTCAACAGCATTGTTCAATATTGTTGACAAGTGTGAACAACGTGGGCAGCAAAACATTGTTCAGTCCTGTTGAGCAACGGTCTCGGCGTTTTTTGCCGTGTAGACAAAACTCGCACCTGCGGCGCTCGGCTCGTGCTTCCGCCCTCGTTTATCAAACGTTAGATTATAGGGGCGCACTCGAAAATTTCCATCCGCCATTTTGAATTGTAGAAATCAACACGCATGCGTCAATTAGTCAAAGCAATAATGCGCGTGCGTGATTTGGTTTAATTTGCGTGGTTATGTACCATAGCAACCTCGTTCCCAGGGCTTTAGTGTGAGGACGAGGGGAGAGACGAGAAAGCCCTGGTCTGGGCTGGTTAATTTTGCATTCTGATTGGCTAACACCATATTGTCTAAAAATAACTGAACTTAGCAGTTGACACTAACAATTCAACATTTGTATTTTTATGATTCTTGTGTGTACGAGTATGTTTTGCAAAATAATCTTTCAAAGTAAGACGTTTTCCCGACTGCATGATTTACTTTCGCCTCGGCCGGTTACAAAACTCAAAAGCCGTGTCGACGTGAGCTGTGATGTTTCCTGAAAAAACAAGCCAAACGTCTACTATTATTTAAGCTGTAGTTTTCCTTCTACAGTATTTATAATGTAGTCCAGATGACTGATGAAATACTACGCGTATTGCATTGTACTATTGTAGTAATATTTTAATTTACAATATTCTATACTGACAAATAAAAGCAAGACAAACAATTTAATTTAGCTATAGGCCCTGTTTACTTAATAGCTCTACGCCTAGGCCGATGTAGTCTCTACAAGATTCGACACGCCACCGAGTTTTACAGTTTCAGAATACCTCGAATACTTGAAAATTGCGATTATACGATAAAATAAAACAAAGATTGTGAAGGGGGTAAAATTTGTTGGCAAGCATTGCTCCTGAACGGCAATTGAGTGGATCACGACTTGCATGGAGACACCTAGATGCAGCTTGGATGCAGGCTTTGCCTGTGGTTGAAAATCTCCAGAAATATCAGTATATCTTAGAAAACATGTCCTCACACTAAAGCCCTGGGAACGAGGTTGATTCTCCACAACTTTAACACAATAACTTATTAATATCCTCGTTTTAAAACAGTAGCGATTGATACACCGGGTGGAAAGCGTAATTTAAAAATGAAAATTAAAGCCCAGCAAATGACTTTCGGACAAGAAATAAAAAACCCGACATGATTGCATCTCGAATGAGAGTCCAACCTCCAAATATAACCTCAAGGAGGAGGGATATTCGCCATGGCTTGGGTTTTTTGCTAGTTTTGCCTTTTCCCCAAAGAGGAAGGAATAAAGATCTGCAAAAATCCCATGGAATTGTAGCAAAACACACTCTCTAGAATTCAAGGAAATATGCAATGGTCCAATAATTGGAACGACATTCTTGCAAACAGTGGGCAAGAATACTAAAACTGTGTTGTACACTAGTTGTCGCATGAAAAATTGCATGGGTCAATCGCCTAAGAAGGGAACTGCAAAATGGTTGACAGGTTGAGGTAATCTTACAAACCATTAGATAACATGTGTTTAAAAGCAGTGAGCAGGTCCTTGTAGGACTTCAAAGGTAAATTTAAGCTGTCGAAAGCTTTGTATTGTCCATGTATCGCATCTCCGGGATTTCCGTTTGCTGGTAATCATGAATTAGCAGTCTGTGCCGTTCTGCTTCAGGGTCAAAGTATTGTATTTTTGGGTAACAACGAATGCAGAGAATCATTAGGGACAGCTTTAATATTGGGAAACACTTTTACAAGCAAGGTGGATGTGTGCACAGACTGGGTTTGTATTTTATCCTCTGGACGATGTTTGGTATGTATATTGTGATAATCATCAATACAAAATACAATAAATTGTTATTTTCTGTTACAGTTTTGAAAAATTCTTTCACTCCAAAATTCTTTCGCTGGCTTTAATGGTACGAGGATGTGCTACAATTCCCAGGTTACGGAGAGATGCCAAATCTTGCTGGCTTATTCCAAATTGCTGGAGGGTTCTTGCAAGTGATACCTGGAACCAGTTAGCCTCTAGATCACCTTTGATGTCAAAGATCTCAGCAGATTTCTGAATAAGTTCTTCATATTCTTCTTTAGACAAAAACTACTGGATGGCTTAGGAACAGAAGGACTTGGTGGGGTATTGCTGCCAATAGGAGAGGTCAATGTGATGGTTGATTCTGTACCTTGGCTGCTGGATGACTGAGGGACTGAAGGACTTGGTGGAGTTGTGAACACAAGATCATCTTCATCTGTTTCTCCTCTATCCGGCAAATCCCGATCCAATCCTATATTTTTTGTGCGTTTGCACGAATTCGCGTCTTCTATATTTTAATAATAGTCTATTGCATTAAAAGATGAGGCAATAATTCACAAATCGGCTCAGCTGAGTCGAACTGTTTTGTTCGCCTTCCAAATCAATTGGATCAACTGACTGGTTTATATATAACTGATAACGAGTCTTCGCTTGCTCTTGGCGTATTAGTGCAGTCATTCTTCGCAAAGAGAGCTCTTTTGCTGGTATGGTTTTGCGGCTCGCCGTCTACATCGTATGACTCCGATCGATAAAGCCTTTTCACCGACGTTTCACTTTTTCCTAGTTTTTGTCCAATGGTTCGAACAGAAGATTCAAACCGCGAGCGAACGTCACTAATTTTAGTTACCAATGTTTCGTTTTTGTCAGCACAGTTTCTGCATAAAATATGCGAGGGTAATTCTGGAACCGCGATTTTTTTCCAAGTATCAATTCCAAATTTGAACACGCTTTGCTCTTCAGTTCTCCGCCAGTAATTAGCTTTCTTCTGTAATATGTATTTTCAACAACGTTTGCGTACAGCAAACAAATTTTGTCTTTTGACGATGGGGAAACGCACTCTCGATGTATCGTTTTTGACGGAGTTGTAGTTTCAGACATTTGCGAATTCAGTGTCAGTGGACGAATGCAGGTGCAAAGCGAAGTGACAAATATGCCACACATTACTTGAATTACTATAACGGCCTTTACAACTCAGGCCCTTGTTAATTGACAGCTAATAACTTGTTCACATTTTTTGGCGCGAAATGCAATTGAAAACCCTGCAAGTATGACAAGTCGACCTCGCTGCTCGCGTTTCGTTCGAGGTCGACTTATGGCAAGTCTAACACTAACCCTATTCCAATTCCCAAACACCAACTCTAACCCTAATCCTTGCCCTATACCAGTAACCTAACCCTATTCCAAGTTTGTTTCTAAACCAATCTTGAAAGAAAAAAGTTTTGATGAAATGTCATTCTGAAGTCAGCGAAATAACTTCTTCAATGTGGCACAGGGATATATAGCAACGCTGGAATACACAAAGCTTTTGTTTAGTTTGGAAAACACAAAAGAAAACAATTGCATTATATTCATTACCGACTGAATGCCAAACATTCTAACATTATGATTGCTCCCATCTTCACTCCGAAGTGAAACCCTCAGTTTAACAACGTAAAGCCTAGTTTCCATTTGGTCGCGACAAGTGGCTGATGTACCTAATACAGTGTCAACAAAACTCTACAAAACTCTGCAATCATTAAGACTGATTTGCATATAACACACACAAAGATTATTATTATATTAGACTATTTCACATCTACCGTTTGTCGTGCCAGCGACAACTAGCGACCAAATGGAAACTAGACTTAACTCTAAAAAAACGGCGAGTGTAATTTTTGAAAAAAAACATCGCGTGCAAATAAATTATTGCATTGAAAACACGTCGCGTGTAATTATTGCTTTGAAAAAACGTCCGTGCAATTCTGAAGAAAAAATCGGCGAGTGTAATTTTGAAGGAAAAAAAACGAGTGTAATGGTAAAAAAAGGCGAATGTTTACAGTCATGGCCCTTCTCGGCCATCGTAGTAAATATGTAAATAAATGTACTCGATCACGTCATTTATTTATTGCATATTCTCCGATATATTTCTCTTTTAACACATCATCAGCATCAGAAATTTTTTTAGACTAAACACTCATAAATCACTGATTTTTTTAAAATACACTATTAATTAATTTAATCTCTTTCTCGACAAGTGGTTTCGCATTACACTAGATTCAATTTTTCTAATGTAAATATCTCAGCGAGTATGACTTTTTACCCTCACCCTCAACTCTTGGGTTGACCACACTGGCGATCGCGATAAGAAGCAATAATTGTTGTCGCCTGAAGCATCTGCAAGCGTCGCATGTTTTGATTCATTTGGTGAAGCAAAAGGTACATTCGTCGCCTTCTGCGATTAAGCGCTCTTCGTTTTTCGCGAAAACGTTGATACATAAAATGAAATAAAAGCAAAGAATCTCTGTCCATTTTAAGTCTACATATATTTATATAATGAAGAATTGCGTAATGTAAATTTACCAAAAACCAAAGACACTTACTTTATCTGTCATTACAATCTTAAGCAAGCATAAGTACTTTTTCAGTCTGACCGCGACGCCGCTTGCTTAACATTCCAGCACTTGCTTGAATGACGTCACAAGCAAGCACGCTAATCCTTTGCTAATTTGCAAGCACAAGCGCTAGTGTGACCGCGACCATAGTATTTTGAATTCTTAATCGTATAAAGACTATCACAAGAGCGTACGTCTCAAGGGGCCGAAGGCCCGAAGTTATGTTCGGTGAAAGGTATGTTTATGTTTATAATTTGTTAGTAATATTGCGTAATTTGATCATATACAATCTCACTTGACTTTCAAAGCTCATAAATCTATAATGTTGCCATTGACAAAACTATCGCTAGGAATGAGGAGATATTGTTATTTGTTGCACTGAATCGAATGGTGGTATTTTTGTCCTCATAGCATTTGCCGAACCGAAGATATGAACATGCAAAGTGATAAATCATGAGTGATTTAAGTTAGTAGGGATATGTCAAAATATCACAAAATTTGCTCAATTTTAAGTCCTTTAAATAGCCGCTGAAACTTTCATCTTATTGGCAGCCATGCCTTTCACGCTTGATAAAATGCCGCATTTAAATGCATGAATTAATTAAGCATGTATGAAAGGCATGGGTGTCAATAAGATGAAAGTTTCAGCGGCTATTTAACAGACTCAGAATTGAGCAAATTTAGTGATATATTATATCACAGTCTATTAACTGTGATTATATTGACCATTAATTAATAAAACAATAACAAATTTCTCCGACGTGAATTCAAAATGCGTTTTAAACATTTAAATTTCGCGCGCAAGCCATTTTTAATGCTGCTAGTGATCGTTACGAAAACAATTTATATTTACCAAAAATTTCATAACATATATGAACGAATTTGTGAAATAGACCCTTTATACACCCTGTATAAATGTCAATTGCAACAGTTAATACAGCGTTCACGGTTGTTTATTAATCATCGCTTTCAGAATCAAAATGACCATAATTTAAAGCGTTTTCTTTTAAAGAATGTTTCGATTGTTAAATCAACAAGTACTTCGTAGGTCCTATTGTCTTGGTATGAATTTTATTAGCACGGGGCGGTCTGGTTTCATGGTCGGCTTTAGACAACGATTCACCTCATTTTTGCCTGCGTACTCCAAACGGTAACTAAGTAAGATCTTGCTTATCAACGTGTAGATCATTGATTCGGCTATTCTCCGCCCGATACACATTCTTACTCCATAACCGAATGGTAGAGAAACAAAGGCGTTAAGCTCTTGCCTCTTTCCTGTTTCATCACGCAGCCATCGCTCTGGCACAAATTCTTCCGCGTCTTCCCCATAATACCGCTTATCGAGCGACATCATGTGTTCGTGCATTATAATATTAACACCAGATGGAATATGGTAGCCGAGGACATCAAGGTCTCTATCAAAAACCCGAAAAACCACATACCCAGCGACAGGATACATGCGTTGCGACTCCTTCAGTGCTGCTTTGAGAAGTGATGGCAAATTGCTTGCTGATACTTCACCATCTGGGCCAATGACAGTTGCTAGCTCCTGGTAAAGTTTCTCCTGGATGTCTGGATGTTGGGACAGTTGGTAAAGAAGCCAAAGAGACGTTGTACTGGTTGAATCAACGGCACCTATTAACAATGCACTGATCGCCGCCGTACTTGTTGATGCATCCCTTCCGTTGGCCACCAAATAATCAAGCAAGGATTCTTTTTGACTGCTATCTTTCTCTTGCTCTCGCTTTGTTGTCAATACCTTTTTGACCATGCTCATGGCATTGTTATACATTGCAGCCATACATTTCTCCGCTCGGTAATACGCCGGGTCTTGATGTACTTAAGAAAAGGAGAATTGACAGCGAGTTCTCCAGCGCTTTTATTCACGTTTATGGCTGAATCCACAAACGCGACTGCTGTCGGATCTCGCGGGTGATTGTAGAATCCAAGTCGCTGATCAAACAAGTACAAAGCAAATGCTTCTACAGACCAGAAACTCAACTCCTCTTCAATGTTTTCCACTTTCCCATCAAACTGCGTACGAAGGTTCAATTGTTTGATGAAGTCATTCGCTACAGCATTTAACATAGGAAATTTTTCATTGATGTCCTTTGGACGTAACATCTTTGGCGATAGCAGCGATCTTTCTGGATACCATTTGTCATAGTCGTTCGAGAGCAACATAAGACCTTTGCTTCGTTCCACAATCTCGTTCAAGGTTTCGAAACCCGGCCGCATCTGAAATTTCTTCTCGGTGCGTAAAACCTTCTCTGCAGCATCTGCATCGGAAATATTTACAAGTTGCGTGTCCAGTACTTGCTCACTGTATATTGGGCCAAATCTTTCGAAGCGTTTCTTTACGACATCCAAAAGCGCGCCCTTTGTGAACGCGTATTCCAAAACATTTTGAATTGTTCCTTTTGGGCCAGGGATTTCTGAGTAAGGCAGCACTTTGCTGTCGCCAGATTTATAGACTTCTTCGCGACGGTCGACGAACTACGTGCGATCATTGCCAGGGACCAAGGTACCTGATGAGTCGTTGAAAATACACAGATCGTAGGAAGAAGCTAGATACCAACGCCATCATTAATCAACGAGAAAAGACTGTATTGCGCAGTGTATTGATCGCTTGGTTACCAAGCACTGTATCATATTTTGCAATTGGATTGATCATAAAAGTGTATTTTACTTCCGGTAGTGTGCAGACTACGGATGTCACCGAAGTGTGCGAGCCTCTAAAATTTCGCACGACCGCAACGCTTTAAAAGCGTTAGCGACCCGCCCACAAGGACATACGCGTTTTGTCTCAAAACTTTGCTGTGATTTTCTCCGTGTATTTGTTTATTCTGTTTGAAAATGCTGTCTATGAAAGGAAAAGAAAAAAAAAAAACACCATTACCAGCAGATAATTTAATAAAATACAAGAAAAAACATACTCCGAAGAATAACATCTTGTAAACTCAAGATATGAGCTATAACACAAGACAACAATTTTGCGGTGATATTTCGACTCTATTTCAAAGTCATTGTCAAACCAGAATAAGCTATTTACAAACTTGCTATCGTATTATATACAAAGAAACAGGAAGGGATGACGTATTAGAAACATTACACTATTGACATACAATGATACTAAATTAAGAAAAGACCACGAGTTCTTTAGACGCTCTTAATCCGTTATTAAGCACGGGCTTTCTGTATTTAATATACAGAGCTTCAAGGAATAGGAGAAGGTTGGAATTTGTGTGCTTAAGAGTGTGAAGAGTTTGAGTGTTAGTCTGGATTAGATTGTGAAAAGAGAGCGGTGTGTCTAGTTTGACTGTGTCACTGTCATTTATGTCATTAAGGTTGTCAAACATGTGGTTCAAATTAAGGATGAAATTAGCATGTTCACATTCCGACAGATGTTTTGAAATCGAACTTTTTTGTGGATCTGAGTGTTCCGATAATCGAGTAGCCAAATTTCTTTCTGTTTTGCCTATGTAGGAACTGTTGCAACCAGGACACGTAAATTCATAAACAATATTGCTACGCGAAGAATTAGGAATTTTGTCTTTTTTAGGCAAGAAATATGATATCTTCTTAGTGTCATAAATTACGACAAAATGAGATTCCGCTGTATTTTCTTAAGAAGCTTTTTAACCAAAAATTCTCCCTGCTTCCCCAAGAAAGGTATTCTTATCCAAATTTTAAGTCTGGTATTATCAGAAAAATCATTTTGAGATGGTAGTCCATTGGTGTTGTGTTTGCTACAATCCGCGCTAGAGTTGACTTCATACTTGGCCTTTAGTTTGCGAATAATTGAAAACCGCACATTGGCAGGAAAGCCATTCCAAGACATAAATTTGCAACAGTTCCTACATAGGCAAAACAGAAAGAAATTTGGCTACTCGATTATCGAAACACTCAGATCCACAAAAAAGTTCGATTTCAAAACATCTGTCGGAATGTGAACATGCTAATTTCATCCTTAATTTGAACCACATGTTTGACAACCTTAATGACATAAATGACAGTGACACAGTCAAACTAGACACACCGCTCTCTTTTCACAATCTCATCCAGACAAACACTCAAACTCTTCACACTCTTAAGCACACAAATTCCAACCTTCTCCTATTCCTTGAAGCTCTGTATATTAAATACAGAAAGCCCGTGCTTAATAACGGATTCGGACTCGTGCTATTTTGAGGTCTTTGAAAAACTCACTCGTGCATGTTATTTAACAAATATAAAACATTTTCCGTGTTGATATACAGTTATATCAACACGAGTGGAAATTGGAAAAACGAGAAATTGTATGGAAACACGACGCCCGAAGGGCGGAGTGTTTTCATACAATTTCGAGTTTTCCCAACTTCCACGAGTGTTGATATAACT